ATGTTTTTCGAAATCAGTGATACAAATTTGTGAATATGCGTTTTATTTGATTAATTAACTGAAAATTGAATGTTTAATTAAGACAACTGTTACTCTCAAATGCCGACACACTCATACACACATACACAATCGCACGCAAGCACGCACACGCACACACTCACACACACATACAAATATACATACATCGACCTCAGAAGTTATGTTGACCGAACACAACATATTTATCACGATGACACGTATAGAGAATCAGTCAGTCTTTCGTGGTCGTTCAAACCATATCGTAGTAGACATAAAGACTAATGATTGTAATAAAGTGTGTGTCAATAATTATATTCTTTCAACATTGTGCATATTGCTAAATCATTAATTTGCTTCAGTTAATTTAAAAAAATATATAAATTTTATCAATATAATTTTCCAATTAACATTTGGTTACAAAATACTGGGTAAGTCAAGATTAAAATATCAAAACATATATTTATCTACAAACACCAAAATAATTTAATTATACATTATAACGGAATGTTAAAGAATTTCCAACATGGAAGTATAAAAAGAATAGTTTTATTATAGAATATTTTCAAATTTTAATCTACTGATAATTTCAAATAATGTCGATACTATAATATTTTACAAACTGTAATGTTGAAATAATTTTAGACTCACAAAAATTTGATATCAAATAAATTACTTCTAAAACTTAAAAATACTACAATTTACATAACAGATAATAAATATTATAACAGACACTTATTTAATTGTCATTTCATTACAAAATTATTAAATTCTATTTTCTAAAATTTGTCGTACTTATTGTTTATAGAAAAATATCTGTGTGTATTTTAATATTTAAAATGATTTTTAAACAGTGTTGACATTAAATAGAATAACTGTAACAAGAAAAATAAATTTAACATTAATTTCGTTGTTAAAGATTATATAATTAAGAAAAATAAAAAAAGAAAACAATTGCTTTCAATTTTTATTCGATATATCCCCTAACAAGGGAATATATCAAATACATCATTATGATAACTATGATGTATTATAAAAAATGTGAACAAATTAATTTTGTTAAGTGAGAAATAAATATAAATACAACACTTAAAAATAAGTAGAATTATATTAATCATATAAGTTAAAAATAGGATACTAAATACTTTACGTAAAATTAGCCACATAAAATATTTTATAAAACGGTCAAAACGCATAAGTTAATATTATATTAAAAACGCATAAACAATAGTTCATATCGATTTAATAAGGTACTCCATTGAAGTTAAAACATTTTCAGGTATTGAATTAAATTTGCTGATTAAAACTTAATTTTTACTTTTACAATTAAACACAATAATGTTACATGTATATCGATGATGAGAATATATATAAAATATTTCAATTAGGAAGATTTGATAAAATAAACATTGATAAGGACTATAGCTTTAATACTTAATAATAAAATAAGGCTATGATGAGAAATTGAGTCAATTCAATTAAAAATTATAAAAATAATTTAGTAAATATAAATTATAGAGTATAATGGTAAAATATTATAATTGTCAATCGAATGAAGAAATCCATAATATAGATTTAAAGCAATTGTTAACACATATTTATTCATGTGTTCAATCTGAAATATCTGAAAAACACTTCATTATATACAGGATGTGTAGGAACTAATAGTAAACCTGTTAATAGTAGTTTTCTGGGATTATTTGAAGCTAATTTTTTCTCCGCAAATGTCGCGGGAAACTAATATGTTTTGCATGTTCCTAAATTTGCCATTATGTATTTTTGGAATCAAGTCTTAAATTAAAATTCTATTAAATGTATAGTCTACTCAAATTTAATTGATGAATGTGTTTTATTAATATTTTATTTCCACAACGCTCTATTTGTGAATAACCATTTAATTTCAGTCGTTGATGATTAAAAAAGTATTGATACTTCGACATTTTCGCTGAGGAAAAATCGTCTAAAAATGATCTGAGGTATCTGCTATTAACAGGTTTACTGCTAGTTTTGGAACCCCTTGTATATATTTATATAATATTTATTATTAAGTTTATAATTGATACAATTTAGTATTGATTTTATTTTAATATTATTTTCAGTAATTGTCCGTTTAGAGTTTATAATACACAATTTAAGAAGAGATAACACAGACCTATAAAGAAAAATAATAATAAACATGTTTTCTCTCCTTCTGTGTGCCACCGCTGCTCAGTCCTTTGTAATCCTACTGTTTTGTTCTTATTCTGAATAAACACACAGGCTTATATTTATATAAAAGTAACGGCTCTTGTGTTTATAAAAGTAATTTGCTTCACACAACTAATTTTATGTATTTTACATTCTTATATTTTAACTTTTATATTTTATAAATATTAAATGTATATAATTTATTGATAATAAGAATAATTATTTAAAGAAAATATACAATAAATTGTCAATATAATTTTTGTATATATCTGTCAATTACAGTTATGTGCGACACTGAAATACACACACACACAATTTTTTTAAAGAAAATCATATTTATACATATATGATTATATTTTTCAAAAATTTTGCAAATGGAAATTTGCACATTGCTTTCTCACCATACAATATTTCACTAATTAGGATAGTTTTCCAATTAATAATTTTATATATCTTGTATTTATTTGTTTATATATAAGAATGATTTAAAAAGACGTTAGAGTTATATTTAATTTCTCTATTATTTAGTATTTCAATTAGAAAGATTTAATAAAATATACATTGATAAGAACTATAGCTTTAATATTTATACATATATAATTTTATTTTTAAAAAATTGTGCATACGGAAATTTGCACATTGCTTTTTTACCATATAATATTTTACTAATGAGGATGATTTTCTAATTACTAATTTTTATATTTCTTATATTTATTTTCTTGTTTGTATATAAGATAGATTTAAAAAGACATCAAAGCAATATTTAATTTCTCCATTATTTATGTTTTGTCCAAATTGTACAATATTTTACATATCTAAAATAAAAATTCCTTTGCCGTCATGATGATATTTCTAAAACTATTATTGAGTAACGAATTAATTTTTATCGCTGCGACGACTTCTTCTCGTAATGAATCTTTATGCGATCAATCATCAATATATATAAAAACAATGCATTACAATATCATATATTGAAGGAAATATTTTTTATGGAGAATACAATATCATCATAAACATTCTTAATAAAACGAAAAACATATATTTACATTCAGAACAATTATGTATTAAAAATATAGTTCTAATTAAAAATTTTTTAAAATATGAGAATGATAAAGATACAGTTTATAAACCGACATATAATAACCGACATATAAAAGATACAATTTATATTTTCTTTACGAATGAGTTATCACCAAGAAATTACATCTTAAATATAAAATATTATGGTACCGTTGATAAAGTCTTTAGAATTTACGACATGATAGAACCAACTACGTGAGTAAATAATAAATGTTTATTAAAAAAAATATAATATGTAATTACATAGGATATTGTAATTAATATACTATTTATGTATTAAGTGTCTTAAAAATTATTATATATTGCAAATTTTAAATCTGTACAAGGAGAGGAAGAGTCGCGAATATTAGTTTTCATAAAAATATTTAATATGAATAAGATGCATAGAATTATTGAGATAATTATTAAAATTATAAAATTAAGAAAATAATTAGGGTAGAATTATCGAAAGCGATGAGTATATTACAAGATATTACACCATATTATTTGTAAAAATGCTTTTCAAAATAAGTAATATAAATTAGTAAATAATGCATATTAATTTGATTACTATTAGAAATAGAGAACTAGAAAGACTGCTTACATTTTTTTTTCAAATAAGCGGGATATAAATTTGTTAATAATGCATAATTGATTTGATTAATTAAACGAAATTTGAAGATGTTTAATTAAGACAACTATTACACACAAATGTTGCCACACACACACACGCACACGCAAACGTGCATATTAACGACCTCAGAATTTTGTTGACCTACACAATATATTTATCACGATAAAACGTACAGAGAATCAGTCAGTCTTTCGTGATCTTTCAAACCATACCGTGATAGATATAAAGATTGTAACAAAGTATGTGTGAAATTTTGTGTTCTGCCAACATTGCATACTGCTAAAACATTAATTTGTTGCAATTAATTTAAAAAAATATATAAATTTTATCAATATAATTTTCCAATTAACATTTGGTTACAAAATACTGGGTAAGTCAAGATTAAAATATCAAAACATATATTTATCTACAAACACCAAAATAATTTAATTATACATTATAACGGAATGTTAAAGAATTTCCAACATGGAAGTATAAAAAGAATAGTTTTATTATAGAATATTTTCAAATTTTAATCTACTGATAATTTCAAATAATGTCGATACTATAATATTTTACAAACTGTAATGTTAAAATAATTTTAGATTTTAGACATATTTTGGTACAGTATGTTAATTGCAGAAGCATATATATATATATATATATATAATTATATTTAAACAATTGTACAAATGGAAATTTGCACATTACTTGCTCACCATATAATATTCCGCTAATTAGAATAGTTGTTCAATTAATAATTCTAATACTTTTTATATTTATTTACTTGTTTATATACAAGAATCATTTAAAAATACATCAAAGATATATTAAATTTTTTTAATTATCTTTTGTTTTCCAGCAGAGTGTTTTCTAGATCTAAAATAAATATTCCTTTTCTCCGACATGATGATATTTCTAAAACTATTACTAAGTAGCGGATTAATTTTTATCGCTGCGACGGCTTCAATTCGTAATTCTTTATGCTATCAACCATCAAACTATGTAATACCAATGCATTACAATATTATGCTTTTAACATCTATGGAAGGAAATATTTTCTATGGAGAATACAATATCAGCATAAACATTCTTAACAAAACGAAACACATATATTTACATTCAGAACAATTATGTATTAAAAATATAATTATAATTAAAAATTTTGAAAGATATCATGAGCATGATAAAGATACAGTTTATAAACCGACATATAATATTGAAAAAGACACAATTGAAATTTTATTTAAGAATGAGTTATCACCAGGAAATTACACCTTAAATATAAAATATTTTGGTATTGCTGATAAAGTCTTTAGAATTTTCGATGTGAAAGAAGAATCTACGTAAGTAAATAATAGATGTTTATTAAAAAAAGTACAATATGTAATTACATAGGACATTGTAATTAATATACTATTTATATATTACAAATATCCCAAAAGTTATTATATATCGCGGATTTTAAATCTAAGGTTGAACCCTGATATTTATTATTATAATAATACGTAATGGAGTTATGAAATATAATATGTATTGCCGCATATAACATTTATCCATTATATAATTCCCAATATTTTTATGCTTGTCAAAAAAGTTTCATTAATTGATGTTCTTTGAAATGTAGTTGGGTAGGTGGTGTGCATTTCCTGATAATAGACGTCCTACCATTTTCTGAATATTATTCATGTTTGCATCCACATGAACTATGGTTAAAAGCAACCTTTAACATATCTGTAGGATGTAATCAATGCACGGTTATGACAAATATGCCATTGCAAAATATAGAAGTAGATGAGAACAATATGGAATGGAAGCACTACAATACCACACCTCTAATGCGGACTGATCACGCAACAATAATTGTGTCTAATTACCTAATCCCTAGTGATATAAAAACTCGCAATATTGAAAAGCGGTGCGGTCATGGATTGAACATAGAAACTGGGAAAATTACAGATCAAAATATTATGTACATATCCTGTCTTGATAGCAAAATTCAAAACATTACAATATGGTGCAGAAACGAATTGCAATTTTACATGGAATATACAGAAAATGTAATTAAAAATATCACGTTGTTTCTAAATAATAATTGGAAACATTCGAACATTATTTCGAAAGTGGATCATGTTGCAATTCCAAATTTCCATGACAAAGGCACAATAGTTTTCGGACTTGTTTTTTATAAGTGAGTACAAGTGCTTGAAATTACAATAAAAATAAAATTATATTAGCATGCAAAATTATAAAATATAAAAACGTGTATACCTTTTGTTTCTGTAAATGCGCAAAAGAATAAGGATTTGCGAAGACAATTTTTGTAGAAATATGTTTATTTATATAATTACAAAGTTAAAGTATACCGTTTTAATAAGTGCATAAAAGGTAAAGTATGCTAAATCGTACCCCCTAAGTGTGTTGTTAAAACTGCAGTAAAGCTATAACAGAAATGACATTTTTATTTATTTTAATCTATTGTTTTTTGTCAACAATATACATATTAACATCAACAATATACACATTAAATTTATCGTAGTTTCATATGGTAAATGAAAAAATTAGAAAATATTATTTGGTACGATTTACAATACTGATTTGCTAAATCGTATCCATGAGTTTGTAAATCGTACATCTAGCAATGGAATTAAAATATCGTAACAAAAATAAAGTTTTATTTCATATAAAAGTTCTCACTCTTAACATTTAAATATAACTTTCAGGGAAACCGATATCATCTACGATAAAAATGTATATCCTGTTGCTCACAAAATCGAAGTAGCTCAATTAGTAGGACGTAAAGTGACACAACAATGGTTTAATAACATGATGAACAATCCGTTAGTGTCGGATTTTTGGTTTAAAGACGGTCTTATTACATTGCTTGCAACGTATTCTGTCAATAAGGTTATTCTCAATATTTTCAACGCTATCTCGCTCCCAACGTACTTCTCGCAAACGATACAATACTTATGCATTCATATTGCAATATTTTCTTAAATCAAACCCTTTTTACAAAATCCATACACATTCTTTGTGAATTGTTTTAAAACATTTAGCATTATATAAAATAATCAACAGTTTTTTTAAATACCTTTTCACACATTTACATACATATAATTATTATTTTATTTATTAAAAATTTTTATTTTTTAATACCTTTCCTTGGACATTTTTAAATTTTTATAAAATTAAAAATAAAATAATAAGCTAGTACACATGATATTTATCTGAATAAATTTGATATAAATAAGTCTGCAATATAATGTCATGAGGCAATAATTATAAAATGTGTAATATTTGCTAATTATATTAATACAAAACTTTAGATTTCGACTAAACTAGCGAATAAATAATTTATTCAGCTTTACGACGTTTCGACCATGTGATTGTGGTCTTTATCAAGTAAACAATAAAATATTTTATTACAAAAATAGTTATTAACGTACATAAAAGAATTCACAAATGATCATATCAATAAAACTGAAAACCATAATTACAAATGAAATAAATTAAAGTTAACACATTATTATACAAATTTAGGCAGTAACATTTCTTGAAATTATATAAGTCAATCAATAGTACAAAGTGAAAACATTAAAAGAAAATTAATGATTAGTTCGACCATACTGGTTTTTATTTATAATTCGTCTTTATTAGATATGAAGTACATTACGTTTCAACCTTAAATTTAGATCCTTTTCAAGTACTAAAATTATAAAAAATCAATAGTTGGCGACGCAAAACTAAAACTAAATACAAGTCAATTCGTGCAAGGAGAGACAACAATGTACTTACTTAAAACAATTCCAATAAGCCACATTAAGATATAGAGATATAAATTATGATATGTTAAGCGCTGTGAACTTTAACATGTCGCTAAGACATTCTGTCAACTACTGATACAAGACGCTAAATTATTCTAATGACCTTATCATAAACAGAGTTAAGATTGTCTGTGTCAGTTTGAAAATTGATTGTGTTTGTTTGCTTTTTAATATATAATATTTAGGCAATTTCTCTCTTACGTCTATGTTTTTCAGTGTGTAAAATACAAGGGTCAAGCCACCGGAAATCGTGATTGCATTCTATTCTATGTTTGCTAACAATAAACAGATTCGATTCATGCTTTTTAATGTTGTTCTGGTGTTCCTTTATGCGAGTATTTAGATGTCTTTTTGTTTGTCCTATGTAAGAAACATTGCAATCAATGCATTCCAATCTATAAACGACATTTGTTTTATTTAATTTAGGAGTGGTATTCTTACCTCTTTTGATAAAGCTACTTCGTTTTTTCTGTAAATTATATACTACTCTTAGTCCTTTTTTTCTAAGCGATTTAAAGATGTTGTCGCTGAAATTTTCCAGGTTTCCAAGGATCGTCAGATTCTAATATGTTTTTAAAAAAGAATATATATGTAATAAAATATTTTAGTGTTTTATTAAATAAAGACCACAATCACATGGTCGAAACGTCGTGAAACTGAATAAATTATTTATTCGCTAGTTTGGTAGATTAATTTTTACTAATTATATTTAAATAATAGTGACTGCTATTAATATTTTTTGGAATTTATGTTAGATTTCGTTATTATATATTTATTTTAATGTATTTTTCAAAATGAGAAAGTATTTCGTTTTAATAAAGTAACGTTATAATAATATTGGTTTTTGTTTTTAATGCAACTATTTTCAAAAAGGTTATATCGATATACTAATTATTTTTTTCTAGATTTATTCTGATGACAGAATAATAAATTTATTTGTAGTTCAAGATCAACATTACTGTTTTAATTTGAATGGTTTTTATATGTGGCCTTCTACTTCACAAGATGACAGTTTATTGAAAATTCGCAAATCTATCACAGGTAATATAATAAAATAATCCGCCTAAATTTTTAATTATTAATACTTTACAATATGTGTAAAGTTAGAAGATAATTAATTATGTATCTGAATTTTAATGAAATATTATTTTTATAAATGTACATACACACACGCGCGCGCACACGCAACGTACATGCTCACGCACACGTATATACGTGTGCGCGTATTTATGCATATTCTGTCATTAATATTTAATGTATTTATGAATATAAACAATATATATATGTATAAATGTATTTTGCAACTAGCCGCTACACTTTTCCTTGAAAACTATGTGGTTTTCTTTGCAAAAATATTAATTTTTTTCATTATTTTATATACAAAATTATTGAAACATGATTGACGAAAAATTAATATTTCATGAGATATTTGCGTTTATGTAAAGTAATGTGTTAAAGATATAAAATATCCAATATAATATTCTTTTTACAATTATCTTATAATTAAAACAAATATTCTTTAAATAACCTTCCAAGCAACCTTTAAACAAATGTCAATAGAGATCACCTGTTTGTATTTAGAAATTATATAATTTTTTATCTAAAACGCTTTTCCCTAAAATAAATTGTTCAATAAATCTCTGTATATATATTTAAAAATGAATAAATTTGTGCGTGTGTGTGTGTGCGCGCTCGCGAGCGCGTACGCGAGTGTGCGCTTTCGCGTGTGTGTGCGTGCGCGTGTGTGTATGTGTGTGAGCGCATGGGTGTGTATATGTGTGTGCGCGCATATACATCACTATTCCATTTTAAAATATTCATATAAAAATTTTTGAACAGTTTATTTTAACGAAAAACGTTTTAAATAAAAGTTGTATGATTCCTAAAGACATAGAAGTGAACGCTACTGACTTTTTCCTAAAGGTTGATTGACAAGGTAATTTGAAAATCATTCATGTTTTTTCAAATAGATCTAACTTAATTATTATTAATTAATTATTAATTATTATACATAATTTAATTATGTTTAATCGATTTCTCGCAATATTCATTATCAATAAGCTATATGAATAGTGTAATACACACGCGCGCGCGCGCACACACGCACACCCACACACACACACACACACACACACACAAAGTGTCTGGCAATACCCACGCATATGTAGGTAGAGGAAATTAATTGAATGGTCCTTTAAAGTTTTGCTATCTTTGTAAGTATTAATGAGTTTACTTATTAAATAAAATGATAACAGTGCGGCAATAAAAAAACATTTCACTCTTGCGCCATTATTACCCGGTATACAAATATATTATTTTTCTTTAAAAATCACTATGTTTACAACTAATCATTATAGTAAATATATATTTATATTTATAATATATCTAATTTATAATTTTGATTTAAATCATAGCACCTTTTATATTGCGCATGTTGCAACACGTCCTCACCGAAGAAACATTTTGGAAATTCATTCGCTCATATATAAATAGCACGTGAGTAATTCAATATAAAATATAATATCAGAAAAATAAAATTGTGTAACATAAATAATGTTTAATAATAGAAGTTTTATAAAATGTCTCTTATTTTTTGTCTTAAATAATTTCTAAATTGTTTTTACTCTTTTTATTTTTTTCTTTCTTTTTTCATATGGTCTATAATTCAAATAAATTTTTTCCTTTTAATTACATTTTGTGCTACATTTATTTTTAATCTTATTTATCAGGTTTTTAAATATCTAACTGTTCGCGAACGCGCTGCGTGAGAGGAATCGAACGACACCAAAAAAAGGATGAGTCACTTTTAGTATAAAAGAAACTTTTAATATACGAATCTTTACGGAAATATAATGTACAATACTTAACAATTAAACGCACAAAAAAATTAACACAAAATCTAATCAGTTTCAGCGGACAATTCGAAATCAAAAGAAAAGGCGGTGGTCGTCGATTTAATGTTCTGCGGTTTTTCTAAGCGGTTTACTCTTATGCGTACACGGCGGAAAGCGATAAGACCGCAAACCGGGTGTGAGCTCCTCTTTTATCATTTTCGGAGAGGAGCCCACCCTCGCGTGAAGCGCCAATAATTTTGCGTGATTTTAAAGTGGCGCATGCTCAATAGCATATAATTATTCGGCGGAACGGTTGCGACACCGTTACTTGTTTGTGTATTTGAGCGTTTTTTTATATGACAGCTGTCAATTTACGACTCTTTTTTATTCCATTACAAACAAATGTGACTTTATTATTGCCGATCGAAGATTCTAGAATTTAACAATAACTATTTTCGAGATCGAACCTTGTCTCGACTGAAAACGTATAATATATGAAAATCCTAATTACATTTTACTGCCGAAATAATTTAACTGGCGATAAGAATTATTTTGCATCTCAAACATCCCGCCCGCCTTGTCGCAACGTGACAAATGGTTGATGATGATTTCGGCGCGGATCACATTCCGATGGTGATTGATGGTGGGGCGGGCTCGCGTCGGCGCGGCGAAATTCACGTGATGATCGCGTGTTGCGAATCGATCAGCTGAGTCGACGAAAACACGTGGTGATCGCGTGATGTGAATCGATCAGCTGGAACGGCGAAAACATGTGGCAGATGTGAACGGCGAGTGTGAGATGCAGTGAGCGGTGAAAATGAGACAAGTTTTAGTGCGGTGGTGAGCGAAACAAGTGATGTGTGACAATTGATATGGTGCATGATGTGATGATTGTGTAGTGAGTGATGCTATGTGTCAATGTGCGGTGTAGGCGCGTCGTTCACGCCCGGAAGAAACACGAGCTTGACGAGTGGGCGCACGAGCTCGGACGTGGCCGTTCGGATGGTCACGACGCGTGTAATTCCGTCGTCTCCGGGGTGCAAACGCAATATGCGAGCGAGAGGCCATCGGCTCGGAGGGGTGATCTCGGAGCGCACGAGACAGAGATCGCCGACGTGGGGTGCAGGTGCATCCTTGAGCCACTTGGTGCGTGGGGCGAGTCCGTGCACGTATTCGGATGACCATCGCTGCCAGAAGTGATCCCTCATCCGCTGCAGATGACGCCAACGTGACAAGGTGGACACCGTCTGCTCTGTCAATGACGGTTCCGGCAAGGCGAGGAGCGGTGCCCCAACGAGGAAGTGACCGGGGGTCAGCGCCGAGACGTCCTCTGGATCATCTGAGAGTGCCTGTAACGGACGTGAATTCAGACAAGCTTCGATCTGGGCGAGGAGTGTGCTCAACTCCTCGAACGTGAGGGTGGTCTCGCCGATCACCCGACGGAGGTGAAACTTGGTCGACTTTACGGCGGCCTCCCACAAACCACCAAAGTGCGGGGCCGCTGGCGGGTTGAAGTGCCAGCGGATTCCTTGAGCGGTGGCGGCAAGGATGACACTTTGACCTTCGGCTGTCGCTGCGTTAAAGAGACCTCGCAGCGTCCGATCTGCCCCGATGAAAGTCGTGCCGCAGTCGCTGTAAATCTCAGCGCACAAACCCCGGCGGGAGATGAAGCGGCGCAGCGCGGCGATGAAGGCCTCCGAGGTGTAGTCCGAGACAACTTCTAAGTGAATGGCCTTCGACCAGAAGCAGACGAAGACGGCGATGTATCCCTTGTGCGCACGGTGTCCACGCCCCTTGCTGGTCCGGAGGAGGATTGGTCCCGCGTAGTCCAAACCGGTGCTGAGGAACGGTCGAGTTGGCGTTACTCGGTCCCGAGGAAGGTTACCCATCGGAGGCTGTGGTGTTGCGGCGCGCCATCGAGTGCAGGTCACGCATCGGTGTAGCTGCTGTTTGACGGTGGTCCTTCCTCGGGGCACCCAGAAACGCAGGCGGAGCAAGCCGAGAGTCAGTTGCACACCTCCGTGCAGTGTCCGTCGGTGGCAGGAATCAATCACCAGCCGAGTCAACCATGATGCCGCCGGGATGATCATTGGATGTCTTTCGTCGAGTGGTAGCTGAGCATGCTTGAGACGTCCTCCGACGCGCAGCACGCCTTGATCATCGAGGACCGGACTCAACCTCGCTAGGTGGCTTCGCGGTGGACTAGTGCGTCCAGCAGAGGCCGCAGCTACGTCCGTAGGAAAGTGGAGCGCCTGCACCACTCGCAGCCATCGAAATAAGGCGACGTCCAGCTCGTCCGGATGCAAAGTGCGGCCAAGTATGACGTCGCGTCTCGCCGGATTGAGCCATCGCCGACACCATGCAGTAACTCGCAGCAGCCTTTGTAGCGTCGGGAACCGGAGGAGGAGGTCAGGTTCGGCCGTGATCGGTGCCTTGACCACCAAACTGGTGGCTCGCTGCTCCGGGAGGTCATCCTCTGCGGCTTCGATGACGGAACAAGGCCATGCAGTCTCGTCTCCTGACAGCCAGGTAGGTCCTGTCCACCACAGTTTATGCTTAATGAGTTCGTCAGGAGTAACACCGCGTGATGCACAATCTGCAGGATTCTCTCGTCCAGCGATGTGTCTCCATTGAGCGTCTGGCAGCAGGGTCTGGATCTGAGACACTCGATTGGCGACAAAGGTTTTCCAGCGGGTGCTGTGTCCTTGAATCCAGTGGAGCGTGACCTTTGAATCTGACCACAGATGCACTGGCGTCGTTGTCAAACCGAGAGTAGAGCGCACGTGGAGCATGAGCGTGGTAAGTAGAGCTGCTGCACAGAGTTCCAAGCGAGGTAACGACACCTGCTTGACAGGTGCGACCTTGGATTTTGCCATCAACAGGTTGATTGATGTTTTCTCTGTTGCAGCGTTGCGGATGTACACCACGGCGGCGTACCCTCGCTCTGATGCGTCGGCAAACCCATGGAGCTGCAGTTGTGAATGGTCGGTCCCAGTGTTGAGCCAGCGAGTTATGCGGATGTCATCTAGAAGAGGAAGCTGATTCAACAACTGCCTCCAGCGGTGTGCGTCCTGATCAGGCAGCGGGGAGTCCCAGTCCAGCCGTTGAAGCCACGTCGTCTGAATCAGAATTTTGGCTCTGATGACGACAGGTGCGAGCCACCCCATCGGGTCAAAGAGTCGAGCCGTCTCGGCCAAAACTCGTCGCTTCGTGAAGTCGGTGATTGCACGCGGACGTATGGTGAAGGAGAACCAGTCACCTTGCGGATGCCATCGGAGGCCCAAGGTAGCGTGACTCTCTCCCTCCCATGAGTGCGGTTTGCGTTGATGCCGATGTTCCGGTGGAACTCCGGTGAGCACCTGCTGATCGTTGGCAGCCCACTTCCTCAAAGGAAATCCGCCCGCCATGCAAAGACTCCGTAGTTCCTGCTGAAGGTCGATAGCGTCCTCCAAGCTATCAGCGCCGGTGACCACGTCGTCGACGTAGCAGTCGTGTCGCAGTGCCTTGACTCCGCGTGGATATCGTGCCTCTTCGTCTGCTGCGAGTTGATGAAGAGTCCTGATGGCGAGAAAGGGTGCACACGCTAGCCCGTAGGTCACGGTCCTCAGCTCGTACTCGTGGACGTCATCAGAGCTGGTGTGGCGCCACAAGATGGTTTGCAGGCGACGATCCTCCGGATGTACAAGAATTTGTCGGTACATCTTCTCGATATCCGTGACGAGAACGTACCGATGCCAACGCCACCGAAGTAGGACATCAGCGAGTGTTGGCAAGAGATTGGCTCCAGTGAGGAGGTGTGCGTTCAGCGACTCTCCGGACCGTGTGCGCTGGGAGCCGTTGAACACGACCCTGAGCTTCGTGGTCGTGCTCGACTCCTTGAGGACCCCGTGATGCGGTAAGTAGCACCTAGGGCTGCAGGTTGTTGAAGTTGTGCTGACCTCCATATGTTGCAGGTTCTCGTATTCCTCCATGAAATCTCGATAGAGGTCACCGAAGCGAGGATCTCGTGCTCCCTTCCGCTCCATGGCTTCCAGGAGGCGCTCTGCGGGTCGACGAGTCTCGCTGAGCGATGTCGGCGGCGGTGAAGTACATGGCAGCCTCACCATGTACCTGCCACTGGACGTGCGAGTGACCGTGCGCACGTAGAAGTCTTCGCACCTGGCTTCGTCGGCGGTGAGCGGTGTCCCAGCTACTGGCTCGCGTTCCTGCTCCCAGAAGCGTCGAACCATGTTAGCGAGGTCGTGGTCTGTGGTGCACTGGAACGTGCGGCGATGGCCTTCGGGTGCTGCGGCGTCGTAGCCTCCGGACAAGATCCATCCTAAGCTCGTCTGCTGGGCGATCGGCATCCGTGATCCGCCCTTGCGAAGGCCTTCCTCGAGGATCAGCGAGTAGACTTCTGCTCCCAGAAGTAACTCCGCAGGATCGTCATCCAGGAAGCGCGGGTCGGCCAATCGAAGTCCGTGGATGTGAGGCCAGCTACGATCTTCACGTTGAGCGGTGCCTTGTTGCAATGAGATGCGCGGCAGCACAAAGGCCACCACGCGAAGCTCGGCATTGGTCACGTCAGATGTGATGTCTATCGTGACCTTGCCACGCGCTGATCCAGAGCGAGTCCCTCCGATGCCGAAGATGGACAGATCCGTTGAAGCTCGAGGCAGCCGAAGACGCTGAGCCAGAGCCTCAGAGATGATGGACACCTCGGAGCACTGATCTATCAAGACTCTAACCTCGTGTGGTGATCCGTATCGATCAGCGACCTTGACGCGAGCGGTTGCGAGAAGGACGGCCTTGTGCGTCTTAGCTTGCCGTGCAGTGACCAGTGTGGTGGCAAGTGAAGTGGCCTCAGCGGATGGTGTTGATGTGGATGCCCCGTGCAGCATGGTGTGGTGTCGTGCGTTGCAGGTGAGGCAATTCTTTTTTGACTGACACCGTGCTAAGAAATGATTGCCTAAGCAGTTGAAGCACAGTCGGTTGGTCTCCACGAACGTTTTCCGCTCAACCGCAGTCTTGGCCTTGAAGCTTTTGCACGTCATCAAGGTATGGTTTTCACGGCACAGTGCACAGTGAGGTGAATCCGCGCCTTGGTGCTTCGTGACGTGCGCTTTGGCGAATCGTGATGTTTCTCCAGGTCCCTTTGTGACACTCCTCGGTCGTGCGGCGTTGAGCGTCAATACTCGTCGACTAATAAAGTCGAGAAGTGCCTCGTTCTGTGGTGGTTCGGTGGAGTCTGAAGTGGTTGACTCCCATTCGAGACGAGTGCGTGCGTCGAACAGTTCGACGACCAGGTGGTTGAACAGGTCCATCCCATGCGAGTTGATAGGACGTCCGATGCTCTCCTGTGCGTTGACTGCGGCGGTGACAGCGTTGTGGATGCGGCTCAGCTCCTCGGCGGTATCTCCCTTCATCTTTGGCACGGCGGTAAACGTGGCAAAGTTGGAGCGGATTAATTCTCTTTTGTTATTGTAGTGCTTGTCCAAGATTGCCCAAGCGCGATCGTAATTGTCACTCGTGACAGGTAGTGACTTTATCAACTTTCAGCCGGACCTGTCAGACACGAGCGGAGGTGGTGGAGCCGCTCAATGTTCGAGATCGAATTGCTGCTCACAATGGACAGAAAAAGATCGCGAAAGGATGGCCAATCGGCGTAGGCGCCAGAGAACGGCGGCAACTTGATGCGCGGCAGCGAAGACTTCGATGCGACGTCGACGGATGGAGATACGTTCGGCTTCCGGAAATGTTCGGCATAACTATCCAAGTACTGCGTTGTGCAACGTACAGATTTTCCGTATCTCCATGCAACTCCGACTTGTAGTATTCGCTCTCACAAAATTTTTCTTTCAGAGCTGCGCGAATGAGATCATGCTGTGCCTCGAATTTCGTCCACAGCTGATCTAAGATTCTGGTGCGTGTAGATACGGCACTGGCGGTGATGTTGGTCGTGCCCAGCTTCTTCAGGTATTCCACGGAGCGCGAAATACGGACCTGGATCTCACGTTGGCAATCGATCAACGTGTTCACATCCATGGTGAACTACGAGCACTCACGAACTACACGAAGACACGTTCACAAACTTGCGGGTGCCGGCGAGAAGATCCGGCTCGAAGGACCAGAAATATGTTCGCGAACGCGCTGCGTGAGAGGAATCGAACGACACCAAAAAAAGGATGAGTCACTTTTAGTATAAAAGAAACTTTTAATATACGAATCTTTACGGAAATATAATGTACAATACTTAACAATTAAACGCACAAAAAAATTAACACAAAATCTAATCAGTTTCAGCGGACAATTCGAAATCAAAAGAAAAGGCGGTGGTCGTCGATTTAATGTTCTGCGGTTTTTCTAAGCGGTTTACTCTTATGCGTACACGGCGGAAAGCGATAAGACCGCAAACCGGGTGTGAGCTCCTCTTTTATCATTTTCGGAGAGGAGCCCACCCTCGCGTGAAGCGCCAATAATTTTGCGTGATTTTAAAGTGGCGCATGCTCAATAGCATATAATTATTCGGCGGAACGGTTGCGACACCGTTACTTGTTTGTGTATTTGAGCGTTTTTTTATATGACAGCTGTCAATTTACGACTCTTTTTTATTCCATTACAAACAAATGTGACTTTATTATTGCCGATCGAAGATTCTAGAATTTAACAATAACTATTTTCGAGATCGAACCTTGTCTCGACTGAAAACGTATAATATATGAAAATCCTAATTACATTTTACTGCCGAAATAATTTAACTGGCGATAAGAATTATTTTGCATCTCAAACACTAAATTTACATCTTTTTTTCATTTTTCTCATTTTATTTTTGTCTCTCGTAAAACAATTTTCTTTAAATTATTTTTCTTTTCTTTTGTTTTGTCTTCAATTCTTATTTGTTTTATTCTTTTTATAATTTCATTATAACTCTCGCAATAAATTTACTCCATTATAATCTCTATTAATGCTAATACTGCCTATTAAAATTTATAAAAAGGTATGAAAGGAATGGTAGCAAAAAGAACGGTTTTTTCGCCCCATTTTATATGGTCGAAGTTTGGGATCTCAATTTCAACTTTTTTATGCCAATAGTACTATCTGATGAGACATCAATCCCAAGAAAATTTCAAAGTTGAGCATTAGCACGTTCCTTACAATGAGGAAATGAAGTGACAATTCTCATATAGCTGACTGGAAATCATCACTATCCCCCTTGCGTCTCCGGAACCGTCACTATGCTCGTCCTTGAAATTTTACTGTGATTAATATATTATCTAATAGTATTATTGGCATAAAAAAAAGTTTGCGAAATCTGAGGTCCCAAAAAATGGACAAAATTTGGCCATCACTCTTTTATTTAATTTAGGGTATATCTTTAATATCATAAAATTATGAAATATAAAATATATAAGTATATAAAAAGAAGTGCAATTTTTATGTTCTGATTTTGAAATATTTATAAAATGTTTTAATTCGAATTATACAAAAAAATATTAACAGAATGGTAATTTTTTTATATATTTTCATACTGTGTGAATTTTGACCAATTATATCTCAAAGTATATTGGTTAATTTTTTTGGGATAAAATTGTGCTGTGCAGACGAACCATTACAGCTGGAAAAAAATCAATTATTGGCATATAGAAACCTATTGCCTATTCATAGAAAATAAACAAAATTATATTAAGAACGAAGCAAAGTATCGATTCAAAATATCGACAAATAAAAATTGATTGCCTTCCTGTAACTTTTTACTACGCAAACGTCTTTGGATTTTAAAATTTTACTCATCATATGGTATGCAAGGAAAAGATTGAAATTATCATACCATTAATGAGAATGGTTGGATAATATTTAATATACAACAAATGGTAAATATAGACAAGAGAACTTAGTAGGTCTTATTCCTCGTCTGTATTTTTCACCTAGTAATTGTCATTTTTTATTCTCTG